TCTGGGTCCTTGGTTCCCAAATGAGATGCAAAAGTTGCTTTCATTAGAAAAGAGGACTTTGGACCACTAAGCAACAGACCAGTTCTGTTTTTCTTTAGCCCAGGTAAGACGCTTCTGATGTTGTTTGTTGTTCAGGAGCGGCTTGACAAGAGGAATATGACATTTGCATCATTACATGCAAAGCAAGATAGTTCAAGCCATGATGTGTCATAAGTAAGATGATTATGGCTTACAGCTCATGAAAACCCCAAATCAGAAGCGTCTTATATGAGATGTCTATCTCATATATTAGGTTCACCTTTTAAGTTGCATTACTGAAATAAATGAACTTTTGCACGATATTCTAATTTTTCGAGTTTCACCTGTATGTTAAAAAGAGAGTTAAAGGATTTTACAGATTTGTTATTCTAATAGTTGATTAATGTTAGTTAAAATATGATTATCCTATTGTTAACCCTGTGATTAGCTCTGGGAAGTGGGGGAGGAGGGAGGGGGGAGGGGGAGGGAGGGTTTTGGAGAGGGGGGAATTATATTGTAAAACTCTTATAAAACTTTTAATAAAAAAAAAATTGTGCTTGAGTAAATTTTACATTTCTTACCCAAATTGTCTCCCATGTATCCAATGGAATCACTTCTTGAATATTCTGCGCCCACTTTATCATACAATCTTTAACTAACTCCGTTTCAGAATCCAATTCAATCAAAACATTATAAATTCTCTTTATGTGAGCTCCCGATGAGTCTTTAATCTGTTTAATCAAGTTCACATCCTCCAAAGTAATACTGACCTTCTGGTCTAAATTCCACCTCATTAACAATTGGTTATAATAAAACCAAGAATATACAATATTTTCTTGTTTCAAATCTGCTAAGGATTTAATTTGCCAATCCTTTCCTACCAGGCTAAGTAATTCCCTATAAGTAATATTATCCAAATTAACTCCTATAGATACCCCCTCTATCACCTGTCCTGGAATCGCCCAAATGGGAATTTTGTAATTTAATCTATGATAACATTTCTTCCATACTCGTAATAGAGCACTTCTTTATTTATTATTATTACATTTATACCCCGCCCTTCTCCTGGTGGACTCAGGGCGGCTTACAGCCAATTTAAAACAAAACAATCAATACAATATACAAAATTTAAAATGTAATTAAAAAGAAATATTAATATGGGCCTTTTCTTCCTTTTTTTAAAAGTTATTAAAAACCAAATTTAAAATACCCCTTAGGCCAGTCCTGCCAGCTGAAATAGCCATGTCTTGAGGGCGCGGCGGAAGGAGGGGAGATCCGGAATCACCCAGATCTCTGGGGGTAGTTCGTTCCAGAGGGTGGGGGCTCCAACAGAGAAGGCTCTCCCCCTGGGGGTCGCCAACCGACACTGTCTGGTTGACGGCACCCTGAGGAGACCCTCTCTGTGGGAGCGTATCGGCCGGTGAG